GAAGACTGCAACCCCTCGAGAATGTCTCTGTCGGTGGAGCTGTTCTTGGCGGTGAAGTGGGGGCGGACATACGGTCGATGTCTTCATTTAGCTTGGAAGCACATCTTTCGTACACCGCATAGCAGTGCTCGTATTTGTTTTGAAGTAGCGGAATATTTCCGCTACCTCCCTCGCGAAGAGCTGCTTTGGAAGCGGTTTCATACTCCCGTTCAACCTTTTCCCATAAGGATTGTATCTGATCCAGACGGATCTTTAAGGTAAACGAACTAGGCTCGGAAGGGGATGCCGTAAATATCTGGCTTTTAAATTTGCTAAGACGGTCGCTAGTTGCTATGAACTCAAGCAAAATACCGTCTAAAGTGCTCTTGGCTTTGGATCTCAAATTACTTGACGGTCCCGCGCCCGTGCTTCTCGGACTCGGTTCCCGCCTTTGACTTCCATCTATTGAAGGCGCTAACTGCGCTCCCTCCCTCTTCTGACTCGCGTCTTGCGGAATTGATTCTTGTCCTTCCGACATTTTTTTTGGATTGGATTGGCAAGAATATGCCGTAGAATTCGAATGTTAGACCAATACCGTCAACTAAATCGACGAAGTAGAAATGTGAGACGGTCAAAACGAAACGAATATGGATGGCAAGAATATGCCGTAGAACTCGGATGGTAGATGGTGGATGGTGGAATTAACCAATCTCAGAATTGCAAGTAAATAAACTGGAAAAAATTTACTTGAAGTAGAAGCGACGATAATCGAAAATATGTGTAGAGGACTCAATATTAATTGGAGCAGATGCGACGAGAATCGAAAATTTATTTGTAGTGGAACCAATATTAATTGGAGCAGATGCGACGAGAATTTAAATTTTATTTGTAGTGGAACCAATATTAATTGGAGCAAAATGCGACGAGAATTTAAAATTTATTTGACCAAATAACTAATTGCTGGACGGAAATTATTATCTTCGTATTTAATAATAACCCAATAAATGCAAAAAAATATATATATGGAGTACCCTTGACAATTGCGGATATTTAATCGAGTGCAAAACTTTAAAAGTATTTAATGATCAACTAATTGATTAATTATTAATTAATAAAAATATTAATTATAAGGAAAAAATAATTCGATCGGAATGGTGGGATCGGAACACCTGACACCTTTCTTCTCAACTCAATGTTCGTTGGGATGCGCTGCCCGCAATGTAATAGCTCTTTGTTATGTATGTATGTATGTATGTAGATGTCGCGGCGGCAGCGGAACTATGTAAGGCGCACCAATAAAATGCAGAAAAAAGACGGACACTGGCTTACAAAGTTTTGTTTCAATATTTTATTCTTTATTATATATTTTTTTTTTATTATATTTTTTATTTTCTTGGTTTTAAAATGTTGTATGTAAATGTATGTGGAATGTATGTATGTGTATGGGGAAGAAAATATAATATGTAATATATATGTTTTACATGGAGAAAATATATGGATTTACAATATAATAATATATATATATATATATGGATGTTAGCGGACTGTATTTCGATTATTAGTAATTTGTATTATTGGAATTTCATTTTCTATCGTGCTTAATAAAAACCAATGTCTTTATGTAAGCCGATATGTATGGACATATGTATGTATGTATTTTATTCTTGTGTCGGAACCGTTTTGTACATTGTATAGAGGAAAGCGGACGAAAAAGAATATGGCGGCGTTGAAAACGGAGACGGATTGAAACAAATTTGCAAATTTTAGGAAATGGAAAATAAGAAATAGAAAATTCCTCAACTGCCGTTGTCAGGAAAACTCGCTCTTGGAGTCGACACGGAAAATTAATCTTGCAGCAGAGTGACCGAAATTAATTGTTCGGACTACTGCTGAAGACCGGCAGTGAGGGGGCGACGGAATAGTTCGTACTTATCTTGGGAAATAAGAAACGCCGAGAACTGCTGGTGTGGAGTTGAAAAATCCGGAATCCAAAAAATAAAAAAAAAAACCAAAAATCCTAAATCCGGCTCGAAGGACCAAATGTTCGGCGGGGGGGAAACTTCTCAAATCCGTAAGCACACACTATTATAACACTCCCGCGCCGCAATCGTGGAAAACCACCGGAGAAATATCACCGCACGAAAGAAAAGTCACCACCATTCAAGGGAGCCCAGAAGTGCACAACCAAGGAGGGTAAATACCTTCGAGACACAAGTCGGGCCACGCGCACGATTTTGTGATCTCTGCTCCAGAGAGCCTCATCCAGTTCGGCTTTGTCGTAGCTTTCTCCAGATGACTCAACCACAAAGAGCATCATATATTAAACAAAAGAGATTGTGCCTTAATTGGCATAGCGACATAAGTCCGCGCGACATATCTCCGCCGAACTAGAAACGACATATCTCGCTTTAAAGCGACATAACTCCGCGCGGAGATATGTCGTTTCTAGTTCGGCGGAGATATGTCGTTTTAAAGCGACATAACTCCGCGTGAAAATACAGTGACAAACTTAATTTTTGGCACAGTTGGCATGTCTGACTTTGGCACCCTTTTTCTCCATTAAACATAGCAATATTTACATTAAGGGGGTCTTCTCATTCAAAAGCCGTTTTTTGGACCCTTTTTAAAAAAATTCTTATTTGAAAACGCAAAGAATAATTGAAAACTTTTTTTATTTATTGTATTCAAAAATGTTCAAAGTAACTAAAAAAGTTGTTCTTGCCTCGATACGAGCGTTGTTCAAAGAGTAATGAGACTTCAAACTTGGTGGTCGAAAAAAAGGTGTCGTCCTGGCGGCCACGATTCAGGGTCTCCAGAGCGTCCGAAATGAAAAATAAAAACGGGGTTATAATCAGAATTGATGTCATTTTCGGGTGACGGAACAGATTTTTTTTTAATTTTTTTAAACAAAATGGCGGCCATTCAAAAAAAAAATTTCGATTTCGGGCTTTTTTTTTGTAGTTTAGTGTAAAAAAAAATAGAAAAAAAATTTAAAAAAATCTGTTCCGTCACCCGAGAATGGTGACAATTCTGCATCGATTCCACTTTGTTTCATGAAAATCGGTTCAGTTGAACTGGAGATATCATGGCCGCCAGTTCGAAAAACGTGGTTTCGAGATAAACGCGTTTGAAGTTTGAAAAAAGCTCATTTTGCGAAGAGCTTGCTTCACAAAAAAGGCTGTATCTTCTAAAGTATTCCGAATTTCTAAAAATCCTTTTGGGGACATATACACACCATCCCTAGCTATAAATAAATGCAAAAAAAAAATCGAAAAAAAAAAGTTGCCCAATGAGAAGACCCCCTTAAACAATTTTTATTTAAATATATTGATCAATTTCCAACTAAATGAACTTAATTTTATCCTTGTATATCATTCCAATAATTTATAAAAATTAAAAAACTAAAAAAACTGTCACATTTCCCTGAACAAAATTATTCGCACACCGAACTAGTGATGCTGAAAACATCGATGCATCGAGCATCAAGGTTTTTTATAGCGATGTTATTTATGAGTCTATGGATAAATGGGCCTATGGATAACATCTTACAAATTTTTTGCCTATTTCATAATTTCAAATAAAATGAAAGAGTCCTATGCAAGCATCAATATTGACATCATTTTTAATTATGTCATTTCATATCTAAAAAATAAGAACAAAATATATAATTACTACGGTAGCTTGTTTGCAGTTTTTACTCACAAAAAAGATAATAGAAATAAGCCCTTTGTAATTTATTACAAAGTTCATCGGTGCATCGAACATCGATGTTATTTTTAGCGCTATTTTCTGATGTTTTTCGATGATTTTTTTGATACCGATGTTAAGTTATACATCGATGGTCTATTTTGAAAGCATCGACATCGATGTTTTTGTCGAACTTGCAACCGAACCAAAAATTTTTAAAAAATGGAACGGTTTTTAGTATAAATCATTTAGTAAAATGAGCTACTTTGGCTTAAAAAATAGACACTTCGACGACTTTAAGTTAAAATTTTATCGACAAACATATTCTAAATAAAGATAACAAAGCTTTCCAGAAGAAAAAAGTTAACAGGTCGATAAAATTTTTAGAAAATAATTCACTATTTGCCATGTGTGCCAATAATTTTGTTCAGGGAAATGTAGCGGTTTTTTTAAATTTTAAATTTTTATAAATTAATGGAATGATATACAAAAATAAAATTAAGTTCATTTAGTTGGAAATTGATCCAAATATTTAAATCAAATTTGATTCAAGTAAATATTTCTATGTTAAATGAAGAAAAAACGGTGGCAAAAATTAAGTTTGCCACTGTATGTCGTTAGTAGTTTGGCGGAGATATGTCGCTTACAAACGACATAACTCCGCGCAGAGATATGACGCTTTTTTTTTTGGCGGAGATATGTCGCATGAAAACGACATAACTCCGCTCGGAGATATGTCGCAGGAAAACGACATAACTCCGCTCGGAGATATGTCGCTTTTTTTCCGGCGGAGCTATGTCGTTTTAAAGCGACATAACTCCGCGCGGAGATATGTCGTTATAAAACGACATAGCTCCGCCGGAAAAAAAGCGACATAAGTCCGCCCGAAAAATGTACCGGGCGGAGATATGTCGTCGGACTTATGTCGCTATGCCGCCTTAATTGCTTTGCAAGGGGACATAATCTTCGTGAATGCACGAGCAGGCATAGTTGCTTCACATGCAGCGGACGGCATAATACGCTCTTGCACAAAGATAATCCGTCTAATGCTGTTAGCACAGCGCCGGCTCACCCTCCTGAGCAGCCAATCTCAAACACGTCAGTTCATTTCGCCTCCAACCAACAAGGAGTACTTCTAGGTACGGCCATAGTTCATGTGTGCCACCGAGGAGAGAATTTTCCAGCACGTGCCCTGATAGATTCAGGCTCCGAAGGCACTTTCATTTCTGAGAGGCTTGCCAACCGGATTAAACTTTTTTCAAGCCGTAACAACAAGAGTCACAGGGCTGAACCAAGCCAATTCCGGTGTCTCACAAAAAATGTGTCATTTCCAGATGGGCACTCCGGCCAAACCGATGCTCAAGATCGACACGACGGCGTTTGTGCTGCCGAACCTGGCCGGCAATCTTCCGACAAGCACAATTGATCGAAACATTCTTGATAGGCTGCCAAATATGCCATTGGCAGACCCGTCGTTTTTCCAGCCGTCTCAGATAGACCTTCTTCTAGGTGCGGATATTCTTCCGTCTGTCCTGCTATCAGGCTGGAGGCCAAACGTATGTGGGTCTTTATTAGCGTAAGAGACCATTTTCAGGTGGATTTTGACCGGCCCAGTGTCTTCAACCACTAGTAGGGTTTCGACTTTTACCACACAGATAGCCATAGAGTCCGAAGCAACCATGGAAACACTTCTCACAAAATTTTGGGAGGTGGAGGACCTTCCATGCAGACTGGTAAAGGAGACGGACAAGTTGTGTGAAGACTTTTTCGTCCGAACAACTACCAGATCCTGCGACGGGAAATATATAGTATCCCTGCCCTTCAATGATTCAGAGCACATTGACTTGGGGCATTCGAGGAGTTCCGCACTCGCACAATTTCTGAAGAATGAGACTCGCTTGAAGAAGGAGCCCGCTCTCAAAGACAAGTGTCTTTGACTCAGTGATCCAAGAATATATCGATCTTGGCCATATGAAGCCGGTGCCTCCGAATACCGACAAGATAAATTTCTATCTACCCCATCACGCAGTATTCAAGCCCGAAAGTGCGACCACGAAAGTTCGCGTAGTTTTCAACGCATCCAGTCCTTCTTCCAATGGGAACAGCCTTAATGACATTCTGTATCTCACTCTTCAAATCCTGAAGTGGCGGACGTTTAAATTCGTTTTCAATGCCGACATCACCAAGATGTATCGGCAAATTCTCCTAAACCAAGAGCACACTCCGTTTCAGAGAATTCTCTTTCGAAATGGCCAAGGGGATATATCCGACTTCGAGCTTCAGACGGTCACGTTTGCACTCCTTAAAGCACTTCCTAAAGAGCATCTACTTTCGACTGAGTTTCTTGATCTCGAAGAGGTCAGCACCACTACGACATTGGGAGTACGGTGGAACGCTACAACGGATGAGTTCTATTTTGTCCCAAGAGAGGTCACCATTCAGGCAAACTATTCGAAACGCGACGTCTTATCCCAAATCGCGAAATTGTTCGACCCAGCTGGGTGGCTCTCCCCATTTGTGGTTCAGGCCAAAATTCTGATGCAGGATATCTGGTTAGTTAGCGTCGGATGGGATGAGTTTCTTCCTGCAGACCTACTACATCGCTGGCATGATTTCCTTCGGAGCTACAGTTTCCTCCACCAAGTTCGCATCCCGCGCTGGGTACATTTTCAACCGGGTGTACAAGTCCAAATCCATGGTTTCTGCGATGCTTCCCAAAAGGCTTATGGCGCAGCGATTTACGTTCGCATCCAGCGTGATGGAATCATTTCATCAAATCTTCTAACGTCAAAGACCAAAGTCGCTCCGGTAAAAACCGTCTCGCTCCCGCGTCTAGAACTGTGTGAAGCCGTCCTTCTGGCAGACTTGTGGACTGCAATTCTGCCTCAGATTCCTTTCGGTCGTATAGAATCTTTTCTATGGACTGATTCCACTATTGTGCTGGCATGGTTGAACAAGCCACCATGTCAGTGGACGACCTTCGTCGCAAATAGAGTCACTAAAATCGCTCAAAATACTGATGCCAGCCAGTGGTCTCACGTGCGTTCCGAGCACAACCCAGCAGATCTAGCCAGTCGTGGAGTAGCGGCTGAAGAGCTGGCTACCAGTGAGCTGTGGTGGCATGGGCCTTCCTGGCTAACTCAGCCTCAAGACTCCTGGCTGCACCTTATGAATCAGTTTCCAACATCGACATCGAGAAGAGACCCATACGTTGCCATTTAGCATGTCCAGAGCAGGACATGCTTGAGCGGCTCTCCAAGCTCGACAAGGCACTACGAGTTTTTGCCTATGTCCAGCGCTTCATCCAGCGCTCGCAAAAACGACCTATTCCAGGCGAGCTGCAGCTATCCAATACAGAGATTTCCATAGCTGAGCGACTCCTAATTTTCATGACCCAACGCAGATACTTGCCTCTTGAATATGCCTGCCTGAGCCAAAAGCGGCCAATTCCAGCATCCAGTTCTATTAAGAACATGAATCCTTTCCTTGATCCTCACGGCCTCATCAGGGCGTGTGGTCGGGTGACGGCCTCTGAAGTCCTCCAATATGATGAACGGCATCCGATATTTCTTCCATACAACTGTCAGTTGGCGCGTCTCCTTGTATCCTTTACGCATCGCATATCCTTGCACGGCGGTAATCAGCTAATGGTACGCCTGATCCGCTCAAAATTCTGGATACCAAGGGTCAAGAACTTAGTCAAGTCAATTTTCTCCTGCAAAATATGTGTGATCCACAAAAAGAAGTTGCAGACTCAACTCATGGGCGAATTACCTAAATAAAGAACGTCTTTCTCGCGGCCTTTTACGTACACGGGTATGGATTATGCCGGACCGTTTGATATAAAGAACTACACCGGGAGAGCCTGCCTGATTACCAAGGGCTATGTGTTGGTGTTTGTATGTTTCTCCACAAAGGCCATCCATTTAGAGCCTACTTCTGACCTCACAACGGAGAAATTTCTCGCAGCATTCGCCCGATTCGTCTCGCGAAGAGGGTGCCCTCGACAAGTTCAGTCGGACAATGGGAAGACCTTTGTTGGTGCAGCCGCAGTGCTGTCGCGTGAATTTCTGCGAGCTGTCAAGGAGTCCGTGACGAATGCTTATAGTCACCAGGAACTCCTTTGGCAATTCATACCCCCAGGAGCACCGCACATGGGAGGATTGTGGGAAGCTGGAGTTAAAAGCTTCAAGACGCTGTTTTATAAATCCACTGCCACTCGAAAGTATACGTTCGAAGAACTTTCCACATTGCTGGCCAAGATTGAGGCCTGTCTAAATTCGCGTCCACTCGCCCCGATGTCCGAAGACCCCACAGACTTGCTAGCACTCACGCCAGGTCATTTTCTCGTAGGTGTTCCCCTTCTCGCCACCGTCGAACCCGAAATAAAGGGTGCGTCCACTTCAATTATCAACCGGTGGCAGCACCTTAAGGCTCTTCATCAGCAATTCCGCCTAACATGGAAGGAAGAGTACCTCAAGGAGCTCCATAAGCGAACAAAGTGGCAAGTCCCCACAAGAAATCTCGATGTGGGCGAGATGGTTATAATCAAGGACGATAATCTGCCTTCCAATGAGTGGCGGCTCGGCAGGATTGATTCCGTGTTTCCCGGACCCGATGGTCATGTTCGAGTGGTGAATATTCGTACTGCTCGGGGAATCGTTAAGCGCCCTGTCGCAAAAGTCGTATTGCTTCCGGGGGCGACCTCCGAAAAATCTCAATAACTAGCCGTATCCTCACTCCGTAGTTTGCTTCTTTCGCTAGTTCTAAGTCATATTTTCGACTCCATACTAGTTCTTTCTTTTGTATCCTACTCCAGATTATAAACAATGTTCCCACGTCTACGTATCGCCGTCGAAATGGAGAGCAGACGTACACGAGGTATAAATTCCTACCGTTGCCGAGTCTGCCACGGAGTCCACCCTCTACGGAAGTGCCGCAGATTCTTACGGCTGAGCATCGAAAAGAGGCTCCGTGCGGTCCTCGCGAATCGCTATTGCGCCAACTGCTTGGCTCACGAGCATTCGGATGGAGCGTGCCGCCGTGGCGATAGGTGCAAGATCTGCAACGGAGAGCACCACACACTGCTGCATATGCAAGAGCAGCCGCTGTATCGACGCCGTTCGCGTCAGTTGACGCCGCCCTCTCATCGTGCTCCAGCTTCTGCTCACCACGCCTCGACCTCTGCTCACCACTCTTCGGCCTCTCCTCGGCGCTCGGCGGCCTCTCCTCAGCTCTCTTCGGCCTCTCCTCGGCACTCTTCGGCCTCTCCTCGGCACTCTCCGGCCTCTCCACGGCATTCGTCGGCCTCTCCTCGAACCGCGGCATTCGCCACGCAGGGAGTTCCGACAGGGCCTTCACTGGCCACTTTGCTTCAGCGGCACAGCGTGAACCTCCTCCCGACCGCGCTGGTGCGGATTGACACCGGAATGCGAGTGTTCGACACAGCGGCGCTTATCGACCCCTGCACGCCTATGAGCTGCATTGACGCGTCGCTGGCGACTTCTTTGCGACTTTCAACGACAGCGGTGGGTGCTGAACAGATCTGTTCAGCCACCGTCGGCTCGAAAACGAACGCCCATGTCCGACTCGATCTCGTTTTCAAAGTGGAGCCTCACGTGCGCGTCCGCACTCCGATCCGACAGTTGGATGAGACTGTGCGGGCCTATTTCAAGGACATCACCTTGGCTGATGAACGGTTCTACCTTCCGGCTACGATCTCCGTCGTCCTGGGCGCGGATGTGTACCCTAAAGTGATGCAGCCTGGGTTCCTGAAAGTGCAGGATGGATTGCCGGTGGCCCGAAGCACCGTATTTGGATGGGTCCTGTCCGGGGCCTGTCACACACCATAATGAGGAGCAGACTATGTTGCAACCCTAGTGATTGCAAGGGGGGCGGAATGTTCAGGTCAGGAGCTTTCGTTTCCCCCCGCGCGACTCCGAAGCGCTCCCGCTTCCTCAAAGCTCCGCAGCGCGCTCTCGCTCTCAGCTTGCGCTCTTGCGCAGCTTGCGCTCTTGCGCAGCTTGCGCTCTCGCTCTCCTAGCGGACGCTTCGACTCTGGGCGATCGGCGCACGGCTAAGCGACCGCTCCCGCTCTCCTAGGTTCTGATCTCTCACTCCCGCTTGTATAGTTTTAATCACATTCTTGAATTCAAATAAAGCGGACCAAGTCCTCGCAATAATACTGAAATTACCACGCTCCCCCGGCCTACTATTTCTTTTCGTTTGGTGGTGACTTTTCTTTCGTGCGGTGATATTTCTCCGGTGGTTTTCCACGATTGCGGCGCGGGAGTGTTATAATAGTGTGTGCTTACGGATTTGAGAAGTTTCCCCCCAGCCGAACAGCAGCATAATAACTTCCAATTCCAAATTCAAAATAATTCGGTTTCCAAATTCTCTACACTTGTGTCAAATTTCTGTGCCGAAATCCAAAAGTGTGTTTAAATAAATGCAATAGCCACAGTGAGAATTTAATTCCAATAGTTCTCAATTCCTCTTCGTTAACTGTGTTCCCGCTAGCATTTATTTACATTTACATACATATTCAATACAGTCCACTCCATAAGACTACGATCGATGTCAACATTGACATTTCCCCAAATCGAGAAATTATATCAAAATAATTTCTATACCAGATCTACGGGTTCCAAAATTCCGAAAGTGTTTGTTTAAATGAATGCCTAAGCCACAGTGAAACTTTCAGTTCCGAATTGTTTACGTTCGCTGTGTTCCGCTTGCATTTACTTACATTTATATATGTACATACGTACATATATTTCCACAACAGTCCACACTACTGATCTCCTACTACTTCCTCAACTTCTAAGTATACATAAATATATCCACATATTTATAAGAGAAAGAAAAACTACAAATACAGTCCACTTCACTCCGAAACATATATTTACAACAAATATATAAATATATAATCCAATATATTTCAATTACTGTCCGCAGCTACTACGATTGTAAATTTATTTAAATACATACATATATGCACTGCAGCGCCAGCATCATTTGTATATTTAATTTATTTACTCTCCCTTGCTCTATCCTGAGCTTCACCTAATTAAATATACATATTTACATACATACATAATCGTCTGCAAGTCGACGCTCCAATATTTGGCAATTTTTTCCGCCTCTCCTTATCTCCGCTATTTTGCACTTGCATACGACAAGTGCACAAATAGACATACACACGTATTGGTTCCAAAATACAGCACCGGTCAATCACATAAGTCCAGATCAATAAAATAATTTGTAAATTATTTTATATTAAAATTCCAACTAACGAATTAAGTTAGAAATCCAAGTGCGCTTCCGTATCCGCACTAGTGTGACCGTATATTATTCGCTGCTGACCGGAATTATTTAATTAAATTGCATATTTCCGTTTTAAATTCCAAAGGAGAAAATACAATTTTCCACAAAGATAATTATTATAGCAAAAATAATTATTACGAGTCCGATTGGTTCCTAAATTCCCAATCAAACTTCGATCCATAAATTTTAATATATATTTACATTACATTTTTGTAAAAAAAAAATATTCAAAATGACTTCAACTATTTTGAACAAATTTACTTTGATTTCTGACCGTCTGAGGCACTTCGACTCTAGAGTCTGCAATCCAGCAGCACCCACTCCATCCAAATACACCTGCCAAATTCATCTCGACCAAGTCCGAGCGCTATGGGATAAGGTCGAGACAGAGTAGGAAGCTTGTTCAGAGCTAATTTCAGTTGGCTTCGAGGGCGCTGCAGACACCTTGCCTACCCTTAAGGCAAAATACGACGACACCTATTCCATTTATGAACGGTGTGCCGCCAAGTTCATGGAACAGATCGATACGATCTCTGCTAAAGCAGCTCCAGTCCAACCTCCTGCGCCCCAAAATTCCTTTCCGTCTGGCTGTCGGCTTCCTCCGTGCGAAACGGAAGTTTTCTCGGGCGATTATCTTCGCTGGCCGACTTTCCGGCACCTTTTCACAGCGGTCTATATCGACAATCCTACGCTGACCCCTGTAGAAAAGTTGTTCTATTTAAATGCCAAGACGAGTGGTGAAGCTCATTCCATAGTTTCAAATTCGCCACTGACCAACGACGGTTTCCGCTCAGCATGGAAAAACCTATCTGAGCGTTTCGAAAATAAACGCGCGTTGGTAAACAGCCAACTGAAGAAATTGTTGAACATTCAGTCCATTGAACGTGAGTTCTCGGCAGACTTGAAGGAGCTGCAAAATACAGTTCAAAATTGCCTCACATCCCTAACTCTGTCCGGCCTTCCTACGGATAATTAGGATTGTCTATTGGTTTATTTGTGTTACACGAAGCTTCAAAAGCTGACGCTTTCCTTATGGGAGCAATCCTTAACCAATAAAACCGATATTCCGTCGTGGCTAGAATTCGATTCTTTCCTTACTGAGCGCCATAGAACTCTGGAAACCATCGATTCTCTCCAGCCTCCTACGATATGCCTCTGTTCGTCTAAACCGACAATCTCCAACCAGTCGCCACGAGTACTACAATCCTTTAGTACGCGGATTGTTCACTTATCCAAAAGATGCGATTTGTGTTCTGCAGAGAACCATCCAGTGCGTAAATGTCCACGCTTCCTCCAAATGACGATAGAAGATCGTACTTCATACATTGAGAAAAAGCAGTTGTGCTTAAATTGCTTTGCAAGCGGTCATCCACTCCGTAATTGCACAAGCGCCCACAGCTGCCTTACTTGTCACGGTCGGCATCACACATTGTTGCATCCAAGCAACACTTCATCC